TGACCTGACCTGACCTGACCTGACCTGACCTGACCTGACCTGACCTGTACATATCCCAATCCCCAACCTCTCTCAGCTCACTGGGCTTTGGGACCCATGTCCCTTGCCTAGCGAGTGCTACTTAGTTGAGGGCGAGTCCCTCCGTCATAAAATGCCAAATACAGTTCTACTGTCCTTGATTCACATAACCAGGATAACAACACTTCATTACTCCTGCCCCAATAACAAAGAGACTGGGGGTCCCACAGCAGACAAAGTGACCATTTGGGCAAGCAGTCCCTTCATGCTAGGCAGGGTGGGTGTGCCCATGCAAATGAGATCAGCCCCTGAAGTCCTTTTCCACAGCTAACCACCAGATGTCAGGGGAGAGCTCATCCTGACTCTTCTTACACCAGCACGAGGTTTTATTCCTTCAGGAGCACCTTTAGGCAACAATCCATTTTCCTCAGACATTTTGTCCTTTCCCTTTTCAGCTAGGGGCTGCTCTACAGAAACATCTTCCTGAGCATCTTTCTGGGTTTCCGTTGAGTCCAGAACAACTTCTGAAACAACTGACATACCCTCAATCAACGTAAGCTGAGAGGCACATTCTGTCTTCTCCTCAGACAGAAGATTGGAGACAACCTCTCCCTCAGCAGCTAAATTGCCATTTTTAACAGTCCCAAAGTCTGGAATTTCCTCCCCTTTGTTCCCAGACAAGCGTTTGGAGATCGGGGTAGCTTCCTCCATGGGTAAGTCATTACCCCGACAGACACAGTCCTAAGAACACTTCCTGCCTGAGTTTTAGTTGAGTCCAGAACCACATCTGGCACAACTGACAAATCTTCAGTCAGCATAAACTGAGAGGTACCTTCTGCCTGCTCCACAGACAGGACACTGGAGCCATTTTCTCCCCCAGCAGTGAAACTGCTTTTCTGACTAGACAAACAGTTTGAACTTCCCTCCCCCTTGTCACAGACCACATGGCTGTTCCCAGACAAACACTGGGAGAGTGGGATGGCTTCGCCACTTCCAAGAGACAAACCATGGGAGACAGTTTCTCCCTCATACCCGTTGAGCTGAACCTGGTTAGTGGTGGGTCTCCCTTCGGAGATCCTGTCCGCTAGCAATTCGGCTAACATCCCTGGGTTCCCCACTCTCGCCCTGTAATGATGCTGGTTCTGGCAGGACCCAACTGAGAGTGCCGATTCAGGACAAATTGCTTAAACAGGGCAGTTACAGCCCAAGACTGGGGTTTTTCCACCTCTAAGGCAAACCAAACCAGCCAGACAAAGAAGACTTTGGTCTCACCCCACTGGTTAACCACAAGTCACACAAGCAGTTCCCTTAGACACTCCAGTTTCCCAGTATCACCACCAGTGCCATTCGTTATGGGGACTAATGGTTATGAAAACCAATACCCCAGTAAAAGAAAAAAGGTTCACCTGATCCCATAGGACCAAACCCCAGACCCAGGTCAATATACAAATCAGATCTTACTCACAAATCACGCTGTTGCCAATCCTTTAGAATCTAAAATCTAAAGGTTTATTCATAAAAGGAAAAAGATAGAGATGAGAGTTAGAATTGGTTAAATGGAATCAATTACATACAGTAATGGCAAAGTTCTTGGTTCAGGCTTGTAGCAGTGATGGAATAAACTGCAGGTTCAAAATCAAGTCTCTGGAACATACGCAGCTGGGATGGGTCATCAGTCCTTTGTTCAGAGCTTCATCTTGTAGCAAAGTCCCTCCAGAGGTAAGAAGCAGGATTGAAGACAAGATGGAGATGAGGCATCAG